TAGCCGCCCGGGCTCGGCATGGGGGGGGGGAAGTCCAGACATTTACAAATTCCCCCCGGACGCTATTTTTAGCTCAAAAATCCGGACGAATGGTAACCCTACCCAGATTTGAATTTTTTGCCATAGTCCCCGAATGTCAAGAAAAGTGCTATATTGGGGGTGCAGGGTGGGGTTTGCAAAAGCATCAAAGGGTGCATCAACACAGCCCATGGAAGCGAACCTCCCAGCCTGGGTCAACAGACGTGGGTTAGCGGGGCTAGCGCCCTAAAAATAGCTGTGCAGACAGCCCTTTGAAGTTGTGGCTTAGGCAGGAGTTCGGCTCTCAAGCCCACCCCCATCCCTACACTTCAGCGCCGAAGTGGCAATTTTAAAGCGCTATCTACCCAGCTATTTTCAGAGCCCCGCTGGCTTGCTCCTGCCTGCTGTGTAGACACTCTAAATGACTTAGGGGCACAAATCCCATTGTAAATCCATAGGATTTGGGCTCCTAAGGGCTCGTCTATACAAAAACACTTAGTATGCAGCAATCTGGGGGTGTAAACAGGAGTAGATCAATGCGCACAGTAGATCAAAGTGGAGCCTTTATAATGCAGCAGCAGGGTCCACACGGACACTTAGTGCGAGTAGATATATACTCAGGGTTCAAATAGACAAGCCCTAAGTCACAAAGCACTTTTGAAAATCTTACCACAACTCCAAGACAAAGACTACGGTTAACTCTCCGATTTATGGATGCAAACAACGGTACGAGGGTTTGCACAGCAATCCCTACAATAACAAACCAACGAACTTTGCCTATAATTGAGACATTTTATATTTTGAAATGGAATAGACTTCCCTTTCAAGTGTCTAAGGGATACAGTAAAAGAACAGTTAGGAAAAAAATGACAACATATTGGTAAAAAAAGGTTTATGAAAAATGAAAGAGTATTACTAACCTACCATTTTACCAAGCGCACTCTGAAAAGCCTCAGCAAAGCTTTTTAGAAGGTTGCTGTCATCACATCGCGTTGCTCTGTAGAGCATCTCAAAAGACTTGAACCCATGATTTGCAAAACGATTTACTGAAAAGAGTTGGGGAAAGACGCTTTTTATTGTTTGTGATTTTAGAGTAACAGTTTCAAAAGAATACTATGGACAGGATTATACTAAAATTATCTGAACTCAATGGGTTATCTTTAAATATAGGTCACAACAGAGGAATATAAGGACAGAAGAAAAAGCTGGTAAACTTGACTGTTACAATAAAATATATCCAACTACTTTCATCAGATAGAGCACAATGTGGCAACAACTGAAATCCATGGATAGTAATTACATTTCCAGTACACACACTGTATTGAACAATTTAGTGTAGAAGTTCCTAGCTATTAATTATCCATTGTTGACATGATTCAGCATTTTCCTAATGGAAAAGAATCTGTTAGTTTTATGGATTTTTTTTTAAACCATCAAACCTTTTAGCATGTATTTCTGAATACACCTGAGAGGGAGAAATTAATGCTTATTACTAATATAGCTTGGCTCCAAATGCAAAATTCTGATTCAGATTTCAAGCAACCCAAAACTCTGGGATATTCAGATCAAGGATTTTGGGTTGACCCATAATTAGAACACCCTGACTTGTGTTGATGTCTATGGGGACTACTTGTGTGAGAAAGGGAGTGTACAATCCATCACAAACATCGACTTCATTTGAAGTATCTGGATCTATATTCAGATTTGGATTTCATATGACATCAGAGTTTGGCGCTGTCCAAGCTGAGGTTTTGATTGGACACATCTCAAAGTAGAAACTTCTGATAAATACTGGTTGGATCACAATTTGGTTAAGATTAATTTTGTGAACTCATTTTTAATGCATTTTAATTTGCACAAATGCACTGGAATTTTGGCTGGGTTGAGAGAGTCTGGCTTGCCATAGATCAAAAAAACTTTTGTAAACAGCTTATTAAAGCTTCATTATCCATTCCTCCAGTTGTAACAACACTGGTAGTCTAGACCAGGGGTTCTCAAATTGTGGGTCGGGACCCCAAAGTGGGTCACAACCCCGTTTTAATGGGGTCACCTTGGTTGGTGTTAGACTCGTTAGGGCCCAGGGCTGAAGCGGAAGCCCAAGCCCCACCTCCTGGGGCCGAAGCCATAGGCACTGACTCCATGAGTACTCCGGGGCTGGAGCACCCACGGGGAAAAAATGGTGGGTGCTTAGCACCCACTGACAGCTCCGTGGGTCAGCACCTCCCCCTCCCTGCCGTGCCTCCTGGCCACCGGCGGGCCCCCTCAATCAGCGCCTCCCCTTCCCTCTCCACGCCTCCTGCTTGCTGTGAATAGCTGTTTCGCGGCGTGCAGGAAGCTGGGAGGGAGGAAGGAGGAGCTAGGATGTGGCGCGCTCGCGGGAGGGGGCATAACTGGGCAGGAAGAGGTGGGGTGGGAGTGGAGTGGGGGCAGGAAGAGGTGGGGCCTTGAGGGAAGGGGTGGAGTAAGGGCAGGGCCTGGGGCAGAGCCAGGGGTCGAGCACCCCTCTGCACTTTGAAAAATCACCGCCTGTGGCCGAAGCTGAAACCCAAGGGTTTCAGGCCTGAGCAGCAGGGCTCAGGCTTCAGCTTCAGTCCTGGGCGGCGGAGCTCAGGTTACAGGCCTCCCCGCTTGGAGCTGAAGCCCTTGGGCTTGGGCTTGTCCCCTCTTTCCCCCCAAGGCGGTGGGGGCTTGGGTGGGTTCAGGCTTCGGTGCCTCCTCCTGGGGTCATGTGGTAATTTTTGTTGTCAGAAGGGGGTCACGGTGCAGTGAAGTTTGAGAACCGCTGCTCTAGACAAATTATTTCAACCTGCTTTTTTTTTTTTAACTAACATGCCATGCAGATTTTGTTTCCATTGCTATCTTGTAAACCCCAAAGACTCAAATTTATTATTATATTTTATCCAGTTTAGGAAACAATATATTGTAATCCTAAAACCCTTTTTGTACAAGGCTCTTAACAGTTCAGGAGAAGGGACAATAGAAAATTTATCATGTCGAACAGTTATAATTTCTAGTTATTGAATCACATTCCAAACTATAAATATTGTTGGAGACATTACAAGCTCATTTTAGAGCAGAAAAACAAAGGTTAATAATCAAAGTAAAACTCACAAGAGCAGTCAGGCCATTCAGTAGAATATGGTGGTTTCCAGATACCATCCTCATAGGCACAATAGTAGTTTTCAGTTGACGCTGCTGTAAAGTTATAACCATCCAGGCAGCGTAATGTGCAGTTAACACCTGCTTCGTCTTCTATGCATATAAAATCCCCGTGCATTGGGGTAAAGGAAATTTCACAGGGAGAACCTGTGAAAAAATATATTCTGTTCACATAAGGATCGCTTTTAGAGTAATATAAACAAGTGCACAGGAAACCCTGAGGGATAGGATTTTCAAAGCACTTGGTTTAATTCTGCTTCCCCTGAAATCAACAGGAGTATTATTATTGACTTCAATGGAAGGAAAATTAGGCAAATGTTAAGCACTTTTGAAAATCCCATCGTGGGAGTTTAAAATCCAGAAATGCAAAGGTTGAAAAAAAATCAAGCATCAAAAGCCTGGAAATGCAAAACTGAAAGCCCTGTATGCTTTTGCTTAAAACTGGGGTCTCTCTTTAGAGCATGCTAAATTATTCATCTATTAACATAATACATAATATTAACTAGAACCTTTTACACAACCGTACACACAGTAAGTTACAGTACATTACATACAGTACCTGATTCTGATGTCAATCAGCCTTACACTGGTGGAATTCTATTGACTTTTAGTGGAGTTACTCCTGTTATGCTAGTGTATAAGTGATCAAAATCAGACCTATAATCTTCAGATTTGGGCAGATTTTTAAAGCCTCAGTAAAATATAATTAACAAGCCAAGTGTGAAGAAAATAGGTTTATAGTAGTTTTCAAATTGTTAGTGTTTGACGTTCAGTGGCCAAGAGTTTGAGATGATACTGAGCTGGAAATATCCAAGAGCTTGAAATAAAGCTAAATCAGAGAACAAGTGAAGTGAGCCTAATGTTCTAAACCCCAATATCTTTGAATCAATTAAAAAAAATGAATTAAGTTTCACTTTGAAGTCTCTCAATATTCATAATTTTGAAACAACCAAATTTGAATTATTCAAACTTGGCTTGTTCTGTGGATCTCACTGAGACTTAAAAATCATTCCAAATCTGAAGACTGCATGTACTCCTGTAACTTACTGTTTCTAAGGATAGACACAAAATTCCAGTTTATACAATATTAAATATTGTATTAATTAAATAATTTACCATGATGTAAAAGTGAGACCCAGTTTTAAGGCGTACGCAGAAGGGGGCCGAGTTAAAGTTGAATTTTCAACCGTAAATCTGCATTTGCTAACTTCTGAGTGATTGATTTTCTTAACTGATTGTTGGCCCACTGGTTGGGGCTCTCTTTCTCCCCCCCTCCGCGTTTTATTTCCTCCATATAATACATACCCCCATACTTATGCACACATATACATGTGTAAACTCAATTATAAAGGCTAGAAAGTGTTCCGTTTCCTGTTAGGATATTAGCAGTTTATTAAAAAAAATCTGTCCAGAGAAATCTTCCATTCTGCTGAACAGAAAGTAGACTACATTTTAGGCTATGCTTCTTGTTGACAAATAATTGGACAACTGCCTGAAGTTTTGTTGGACTTCTGAGTAAAACCTTTAGTGGCTTTTATACCTATTTTGAATGTATGGAGTACACTACTCTGTTACTCCAGAGTTTTGCCATATAACTCAATTGATTTTATTGATCGACCTGATTTCACTGGAGTTACACTGGTGTAAAACAGTGAGACTGGAATGCAAAAGTACATTGGTGCTGTATACATATGCACATTTATAACAAGTATTACACACACACTTGTTACTTACCAGTGAATTATTCACAGCACTGAACATTAAACTGACTGATGGTGACTGATATGTATAACTGCATTTTTACCAGTACTACATAATTTTGTGTCAATGGCCAGAAGACGATCAAATAACAAACCTTTGATGACAATGTGGATCTCACATGTCCTGTTATTTCCTGAGGGGTCTGTGGCAGTGTATTGAACTGTTGTCTCTCCTTTGAGGAAGAGATCTCCAGGTGAATGACTTTTAGTGATAGTCAGGGCCGCTCCTAGAGTAGTTTAAAAAAAAATCAATGAAAAGGTTTTTCTGGCCTAGTATATTGCAGCTGTCCCTACAGAGGCTGACTACACAATGGACAATTTAGACTTTTTAATTTTCTCAGTAACAGATGTGCTCAACCATGGTAAGCACTGAATCAAACCTGTTCAAACTGGTATGTTGCTAAAAAATGATATCCTAATCCCAGGGGTGCCTTGTAGGAACTGTATGGACCTAATCACTCTTCGGCTGTTTCGAATATACTTGAGCTGCATTAACTCACCTGAGTTGTCCGAGAACTGAGGTTCCTCCCATGTTGCTCTGTACTCGTTCTCCAGGACCTGAATTGGAGGTGGAGATCTGCATCTATCGATTACAGGGGATTCTACATCTAGAGAAGTTGAAGAGACAGCGTGAAATTTGATCACAGAACAATAGACAAGTCATGGGTCAAACTCAGAGGTGATGTGAAGGGTGTTTTAAGTTCCACATCTGTAAAACTGGATAAGTGGGTGTGTGTTTGAGAGTAAGCTGCTGTAATATATATGCCAAAAGAATGGAAGTGCAGGGTTAGAGCAGGAAAAGCATCAGAAGATAAATTAGGGAGAGTGGCTTTATTTTAAACTCTCTGGTTGGATGTCTTTCCTGCACAGTCCCACCCTTGGGCCGCCTTGTTGAGCAATGTAAACTATCTTACACCCACTAAATAATGTATAATTTACTCCTGCACAGTCCCACTCTTGGGCCGCCTTGTTGAGCAATGTAAACTATCTTACACCCACTAAATAATGTATAATTTACTCCTGCACAGTCCCACTCTTGGGCCGCCTTGTTGAGCAATGTAAACTATCTTATGCCCACTAAATAATGTATAATTTACTCCACTGTTTCTTGTGCCTCTGAGGTTGGTCCATTGTCAGAAAAATTTACCAACAGTCTCCAGTTGACCAACAAGACTTTGGCTCAAGCTACGTAAACAGCCACTTAAGTTTCCTAAAGCAGTGGTTTTCAACCTGTGGATCATGGACACCAGGAGGTCTGCAGACCCCCATCTAAAATTTCCAAATGGGTCCATACCTCCATTTAAATTTTTTTAGGAGTCCGCAAATGAAAAAAGGTTGAAAAACCACTGTCCTAAAACAACTGAGCTATCCTTGATTAACACAGATAGTCACCAATTCATAATACCTAATTCACTGAATTTATCCGCGCGCTGACTCTGACTGAGTTTAGTGATTAAAAATAACAGCAGACACCAAGGTATCAAGCCAAACACACACCAGAATGAGCGGATGCCATTCCAATAGAACGCTGGGCAAAATTCAGGAAGTGACATAAATATAATTTAAGTTAGACATCAAGTATGTGTCCCAGAGAATGGGTGTTAGTGGCAAAGCAGTGTAATTTATGCTGATTTGGCACTGAGCAAATATATGAAGTAGTGTAATTTATGGTGATTTAGCACTGAACAAATATATGAAGCGAGTGTCGTTCATATGTAGAAGTGGCAGGAGAGAGTGGGGTATCAGAAAAAGCAATGAACAGGAGGGTGTTATATAAACAGCCACCCTTTTACTCTAGCTTACTTTGAAGTATCCCTATCACAATGAAGACTAAATTCAGTCCAGGTCTAACAGGAACAACACCCCCCACTGAAGTCAAGGGGAAAGGAGTTACATACACTTATGGAAGTCTGAATCTGGCCCCCAGAATAATAAACTGGTATAAGTAACACTTGCTCTGCATACAACTAAATGTCAAATTGGTACAAGTTGCACACATTTGCTAACCAACATGCACCGGATGTGTAACTTAAACTATCACCTTCATTATCATTGCTAAATATATCCCACCAAGTTTGAATTGCCTATGTATACTACTACCAAAGGGAACAAGAAATACATCAGCCAGATGGCTTGTTAAATGCGTAATTACAAATACAAGGGCCAGACTCTGCTGTCACAGGCTTTGTGGATTTCAGGTGTAACTCTGCTTGAAATTGGTGGAAAACTGGTGTGAGAGAAGAATTAGGCTCAACAGAGAACAACATTGCAGGTGCCATCACAACATGCCTCACCTCATATTTATTCATCAAAACCATCTCATGTTATGTACTTATTCAACAATTTATTTAAACTCATCAGCCAAGCCAAACTGCAGAAGGCAGAAAGTTGCCTTTCCCTTCATAAAGCTAAGATAGCGTCTCCCACCACTGATAACCTCCCAGCTAACTCGACAGAGAAATATACCTTCTCGCCTCTATGCAGCAGCATCACTAGAACTAAGTGGACACTGCAAAAAAAGAATTCAAGAACATTTGCTCAAAGACAAAAATTGCACATTGGCATCAACTGTATTCACCATCCATTTTATTTGCATTCTGTAAACTTTTCAAAGAGTGAATTTTTGTTCATAAGCCAGTTCACTGAAAGAGAGAGCACGTCTCAAATACTTGGGCAAACAAATACTTGCATGATTTATCTCACTGGAAATATGTGGTCATCTTGAAAGCTCGTTGTGGGTTTGGGAGACATTCAGTCAGGAATTAAAAACAATGGTCTGTGAGTAAACACAACACGCATGCCACATAACTAACCCTAATGCCTGCTTATGTTTTGACAGATTAATGCGCTTTATTTACGAAATGTGGGGAAGCCCCAAATTAAGAACAAATGCTTTAGCTGCAGCCTGTCCAAATAGACAATCCAGCATTTGACAGCAATTACTATATTATGCAAATGATGGCCTCCATTCAGCCAGGCATTTATGCATGTGAATTCAACAGGACTATTCACATGCTTAAAATTAGGTGTGTGCTTAAATGCCATGGTGAATCAGAGCCTCCTTCTGCACAAATGAAAGTTTTATCTTTGTCAGAATCCTTCCCAGGTACTGCTGAATAGCACTTACCAATAACCTTGACACTGAATGTGCAGCTTGCCTGATTGTCGGACTTGTCCACTGCTAGGTAAGTGATCACAACTTCTCCAATGGGGAAAAGAGAAGGTGGTACAAAAGCTGGAGTAACGTGAATTGAGACCTTTTAGAGGAACAGACGTTTGTTATTTAAACACAAACATGGGTCAGTAATCACATATTTGTATTTTACAAAATGTGCATGTAATGTAATCCTTTGAAATTAAACCTCTACGTGTTTGGATGCATGTAGATTTGATTCTCATTTATACTAAGAATGCTTTATACCCTTTAGCAGTTTAGAAGAGCCATAAATTGTGCATAAATTACATTTACACCCTCTTACAGGCTTCTTCATATGGCCAAAATAATGGAAGGGACCTTAATATAAATGAGAATCAGGCCCACACGAATGTAAGCAGCTCAACTGGGAATCAAAGTTTTCACTGGCCAGAGTTGTAACTCAGAGAACATTCCTCTTTACAAAACAGTTTGGGGGAAAATTCTGCCATTGGATACACACGTAGACCTCCCATTGTTGTAATCATTGGGCTACACATTTAGCCCAATTGTGAGCTCAACTGTAAAAAGCACATGAAAGTTCGTAAGTTGTTTCAATAACCCCTAATAACAAATGTTGATGGGAAAAGGTACAAAAGGGTGACAAAAAGACTGAATTAGTCCCAACAAAAAGGCCTACTGATATAACTCAAGGACTATGCTAAGATCATGCTTGGTAAACAAGAAAAGCATGGAACCAGAAATCAGTGAACCAAAATTGGTGTGTCTGAAAGTAGGCCTAATTGGTGGACAAAATAATGAGGGGATGATCTATTTCTCCCACCATTCCCTTGAGGGGTCCTTAAAGAAAGAGACTTGGGGAGAAAAATTGGCTACTAGAGTGAGCTTCACCCTCATGGCAGCCACCCCCACCATCTCCATGAAGACCCCATGCCTTTGTCATCCTGATCCTGACCAGACTGGGCCAAAGAGAGGGACCCAGATGACATCACCACCTCCCCTGGCTCCAGCTGAATTCCACCAGGGATGAAACGGGATTAGACTTTAAGAACAGCTCCAGCCCAACTCAAATAACTTCTTCTCTTGTCCCCAAAAGGACAGTTATTACCGTCTTTGATACCATCTAAGTCAGTGATTCTCAACCAGGGGTATGGGTACCCAGGGGGCTACGCAGAGGTCCTCCAGCAGGTACATCAACTCATCTAGATATCTGCCTAGTCTTACAACAGGCTACATAAAAAGCTCTAGTGAAGTCAGTACAAACTAAAATTTCATCTAGAGAATGACTTGCTTATACTGCTCTATATACTATACCTGGAAATGTAAGTACAATATTTATATTTCAATTGATTTATTTGATAATTATATGGTAAAAATGAGAAAGTAAGCAATTTTTCAGTAATAGTGTGCTGTGACACTTTTTGTATTTGTGTGTCTGTTTTTGTAAATAAGTACGGTAGTTTTCAAGTGAGGTGAAACTTGGGGGTACGCAAGACAAACCGGACTCCTGAAAAGAGTTCAGCAGTCTGGAAAGATTGAGAGCCACTGAATAAGAGACTGTCAGACTAAGGGGTGGGGCCGGCTCCAGGCACCAGCTCAGCAAGCAGGTGCTTGGAGCGGCCAAGGGGAAGGGGTGGCACGTTCGGCTGTTCCGCGGAAATTCGGCGGCGGCTCCCTCAGTCGCTCTCGGAAGGACCTGGCGCCAAAGTGCCGCCGAAGTGCTGCCGATCACGATCACGGCTTTTTTTTTTCTTTTTCCCCACCACTTGGGGCGGCAAAAACCCTAGAGCCGGCCCTGCTAAGCGGTTTTTCCTTCTAAAAACGTTCTCCAGCAAAAGTGAACAAGGGATGTTTTTAAAACAAAAGCCTTACTTAATACTTTACATTTCAAATGCTTTAACTGTTTTTCCTTCTTTTCTTTACCTTTAATAAAAAAGTCAAAAGGATTTTAATGGTATGTTTGCCATGTTACTAAGCAGGCTGAAATCTCTGTTTACCAGTCTTGGATCTTGTTTAACTCTGTTTAACATTGGACAGTGATTCGATTATGTTAGCACCTTTGGCCTGGACAGTCCATCTAAATTAATACACCACCACCTACTTCAGTGGAAGTTGCTGGCCTGTATATGACGCTTGATCATGGTATAGAAATGGGATCGTATTAATTGTATGGTGCTGTGATGAGTTTTCACTTATCACAGTGGGCTCTTTTTAGCCTTTGAGTGTTATGAGTTGGTTTACTTCCTTGAGGAAGGACCCGATCTTATGGAAGGCAGAGTACTAAACTCCTTCATATTCTGAGCTCCTTTTTAAAGTGCTGTTCTGTATTTCATAAACAAGGAGCCATTCTTTCTTTTGACTGCATAAATTAACTGTACAGAACTGTATGCATATAAAAACACCGTACAGGGTATTCACTAACCACATAAATCTAACAGAGAAAATGCTGAATTCTGAAGATACTAGTTTAGAACAGTTCTCTCTACTTCTTCTCACCAAGAAACAAGATATTCTAATGGCTTAGCGACATTTCAGAGCTCTAAAACAGCTACCTGAAAAGGGATTGCATCAAAATAAAGTGTATATGTTTTAGCTATACCTCATCTCCAGAGTTATCTTTTGCTATTGGAACCTGCCAGCTAATATTAGCAGAGTTATGATGTTCCAGAGTCCTGGCCTCAATATTGTCTGGACAGCTGATTTGAGGAGCTTCAAAATCTAATCGAGAGAGAGAGAGAGGAAAAAAATCAATAATGGTTACTCAGCTGGCTTGCTGTGTGCATTGTTTATCAAGGTGACTAGTATCATCTCATTATTTTGCACCTGTTTGCTTTCTCCACCTCTTACCTATATTCTTACACATTGATTGCAAGCTCGTCAGGGTGGGCACTGTCTCTTCATTATATTTTTGTACAGAGCCATTGGATTCTAGGAGTTATCATACTACAAATAATACTAATAGAACGAGGGTTTGCTTTAACACTACAGTTGCCTTTTATTAAAACAACACATCGATTCATCGATGAGGAATGGCTACTTTATTCCCCTATTTCTTGACAACAAGTTATGAACTCATATCAAAAGCGATTGAGCTTTAATTACCCTAAAAATACACCATTTTTTAATGTCATGGCACAAAAATTTGTTTTATGGGGATTCTGGTGGGAAGGTGGGAGAATCAAAATGACACCTACAGTTTTGCTTATAATCATTTGCAAAGTCAGTGTAATTCTATGTTTTTTGTTTATAAATACTTCATTTTCTCAAACAAAAGCACATTCAGTCCTAGAAGACAAGCATTCCCAAGAATGACTATCGAAACCCAGCAGTTTGTTGTATTCACACAACTTTGGGGAACTCGGATTGGCAGCTTCATCAGGACAAATCTTCAGCAGGTATAAATTGCCATAACTTCTCTGAAGGCAATGGAGTCACATTGCTTCACACCAGCTAAGGATATGGCCCCAGGGGTCAGAAACCTTCGGCACGTGGCCCATCAGGGTAATCCACTGGTGGGCTGCAAGACATGTTGTTTACGTTGACTGTCTGCAGGCCCGGCCCCCCCCACAGATCCCAGTGGCTGCGGTTCACCGTTCCCGGCCAATGGGAGCTGTAGGAAGCGGCGGCCAGCACGTCCCTGCGGCCCACGCCACTTCCTACAGCCCCCATTGGCTGGGAACAGCGAACCACGGCCACTGGGAGCTGCGGTGGCTGTGCCTGCGGATGGTCAACGTAAACAACATGTCTTGTGGCCCGCTACTGGATTACCCTGATGGGCTGCGTACTGAAGGTTGCTGACCCCTGATCTGGCCTATTGTCATCAAGAGTTCTTTCACATGAACCCGAAAAATCAAGTGAAACTCCAGTAAATCCTGTTGAAACCTGACCATTTCATCACTAAATCAGTGACTCATCCCAGCTATTCCCCACTCAAAAATCTCCTATTCCCACCACAGGCCCCACCTTTTATTCCAATAGCTCTCAGGAGTTCCCTATTAGTGAGGAGCATTCTGGAGCGTCTCAGTCTAAGAATGAGGAAAACTACTTATAGACTCATAGACTTTAAGGTCAGAAGGGACCATTATGATCATCTAGTCTGACCTCCCGCATGATGCAGGCCACAAAGCCGTCCCAACCCCTTTCCCTTGACTCTGCTGTTGAAGTCCCCAAATCCTGTGGTTTAGAGACTTCAAGTAGCAGAGAATCCTCCAGCTAG